TTGAATTTATTTATATCACAAAGAATTTTGATAAAAGAAGAAATCATATTGTGATATATATACATATATATGTAATAATTATTGTGATATTCAACTGAACCAATTTCAACCAGTTTTAGCTTGACAGATACATGTATCCTATGTATTATATATATCTTATAATGTGTAATACAAATACATATATCACAAAACATTTGTTCCCCTTTTGAGTTGTATATTAACATTGTCACAAAGGATACAGGTTTATCAAAATTACGTATATCCCAGATGGAAATGTGTGTCTGAAAACAAAGATAGCTTGCCAGGCAAGGTAACATACGCCCACTAACAGCTGTCAGAAATGATAAAGCAGTCTTTAGTGGCTTAATAATGAATTTTCAAATAATCTTAAAAATATTTATAAAGACAAAACCTCAAAAACATTTCATCAAATTATCATCAATTCAACATGAACAAGTTCTTAAGGACATACACATAACAGAACTCGGAAAACAATTATTAATAAATTCAAAATTGATCAAGATCTCATAAATCTATACATGCATACCAAGTTTCATCAAGATCAAATAAAAACTGTAGTCTATATCATGCCTACAATCCAAATTTGACGTGTTTTTACTAATGTTTAATACATTTCCATGTGGGCGTATAAAAACTAAAATACTGGAATATGAGAATTTTCAGAATATTTGCTTTACCAGCTAATAGAGGTATTCAAATCCAATTACTAATGTATTCCTTGAAGAAGTTGAAGATGATATCTATAATCATTTAAATTCTATTAAGTCATGATACATACAAGTTTAGGTGTTAAAATATTCTAAGAAGAAAGATAAATTTTCTACATACATCACCAAATGAGGCTATTCTATCAGCAAATTTTGGGTCTATACACACACCAAATACACTTTTATGTTGAGTTATTTGATGGGGTCTGGTTGTGTCTGAAATAATCAGAAATTTACTTACAATTCAATATAAATATGACAGTAACATGTCAAATTAAATAATAAATAATAAGTTTTTTCACAAGCCATTATCAAACTCAAATGTTACTAGCAAAGACAAAAGAACAGATAAAAAGTTAATAAATAATGTTACAGTAATGCTTTTAGTTAGTCAAGACTAACATCTGACAAACTTGATGCAACTTTGTTACTGAGATGGTCCTCGTATGAAGAAAGTATTTCAGATTGTGGGCTTTGATTCTGAGTTTAGTGATATCCATACCTCTAAGATCATACAATCGTAACTGTCTATTGTTCATTCCAGTGATGAATGTTTTAGGAGAACTTGTGAACCAGGCAAATGATGAACTGGTCTCGGCATAGCCTAGAATAAAATAAAATAAATGTATGATCGTTATTTTTTCTGTCTAATAAAAATTTGATACATTTTATGTTTTTTACCAAGGTTATCTTATACACTCTGTGGAGTAGTAAATAATCATTTTGTAAGTTTCTGTTGACATCTTAGAAAATAAGTATCTATTTATATACTTGAAAGTTAAATATATACTTCAGCTGCATAGAATGTTTTGTTTATTCATTTCCCATAGGCTGCTTTGTACCAACATCACAGCTTCAAATCTTTGGTTGCTCTTAAAGTATTGTAACAAAGTCTTGCAGAAAGCTTTCCATTTCAAAAAGGTAATCAACACAAGATTACAACATCAAAGGCAGCAAGACAACAAATTTCTAAAATGTATCAAATGAAAGTACACTCACCTATTTCTTGTGATGGTTTTGTGATAACACCAGGATCACTGTAACTATATCGTGATCTCTCACTAGATCCATAATCAGATGGGACAGCATTGTGATTAATATCCCAGATGGCAATACAAGGGTCATTCTTGTGTTTTTCTAGTCCTTCGGCAATCTACAATTATAACAATTCCATAATGGCATACAATTTCAAATTTGTGTTGTACATAAAATAATCCAAATTAGGCATTCCCAATGACAATGGGTTTTCATTAGATTTATTGAATTATCAAACATCCTATCAAAGCATTTCTGGATTATCTGTATTAGCCATGAGCAGTTTTCCCAAATGAATGATCTGATAAGAGCCTAAGCACTCTAATACCACCTTTCTCTACATCACTTCACACTATAACAATATCTCAACTATCTCTAGGAGCCGCAGTGGCTCAGTGAGGTAGACGCTTGCTCGCTAACCTGAAGGTCCAGGGTTCAATCCCAGCATAGGTCGAGAAAATACCTTTGGATTTTTCAACCCACTTTCAGTGATGCAGGTACGAGGGGCTGACATGGAAAAAGCGTCTAGTCGTTCGGATGGGACAATAAACCGAGGCCCTGTGTGCTACAGGCTGTGCGCGTTTAAGATCCCTCGACAGTTGGAAATCGAAAAAGAGCAGGCTAATGCCGCTGTCCTGGCAAAATTTCCCTCATTGCACCCTACATGGCGTTGCCCGTCTTCATTAGCCCACATGGTGCAGCAAAGTAGGACGTAAAACTCCATTCATTTCATTTCATTTTCAACTATCTCTGGCATGTCAGAGATTCAAGTGTAAATAACAAACTTACTAAATGTGATTCTATTGGATTCCAAGCTACATAGTTACATTGTCGAACATGTTTTAATGCTAGAAATAGAAAGCCATCTGGTTTCAAAATATGTGACCAAAATCATGCCTGACAAATAATTTAATATTACACCTTATAAGGTAGTCTATTACTGATCTGTTCAGAGGTAGAATAAATTAGTATGTAACTAAAGAAGTAAGATGTGTAAATTAACACTTAAATAATCTTTAATAAAATAGATTACTTTGTTCTGTTTTGAACTGTGCACAGATATGCATACAATATGTAAACTTAAATGGTTTATGATTTAAACAGACTCACCAAATTCTTTTCCTGTTATATCATTACTCAATGAATTACCAATACTGAGAAAAATAAAAAATGTTTTAGATATCTATATTAGAGTAACTCATGAGAAGTCTATTTTTGACATGAGCTCAAAATAAGAGTTGTCACTGAATAGAAGAAAAGAGTCAACAAAGACAATATTCTACATAATAATACTTCTGACTCAACTGTCAAGTATGCATTGAGGAAAAATTTTGCCAGAATTGCTACATCAAATGGCTGAATCTCTTCTGATATCCAGATGGACTAAAAAGTTTGAAATGCAATACAAAGTAAGTATGCAAGTGCAAAAAAGCAGCTCAGTAAAATTATATTATAGGATTGAATGTAGATTTTTTTGCGTTCATTGATTGATGAACGCAGAATTTTCACATGTTAATTTGAATGAATGGCAAAGCCAAGGAAGATTTAACATGTGAATATGTGACGTTCATCACGATGATGTATGACTACACAACAACACAAATAAAATAGTGCAAGGTTAATTGAGTCCCTTTTTTAGACAAACAAATGAAAAAAAAGTAGAAAGTACATGTGTAAGAGAAACAAATAACTTAGATATTCAACACAAATTCAGAAACCGAGATTTGTTCCATCACCTTGTCTATTTTTAGTTGAAAAGTTTTGTGTATACATATGCCGCATCCCGTCATAGGAGATGATGTCATTATGACATCATTAGATCATAAGAGATCACTAAGGAAATTTGTTCATCGGTAAATGAATGCAAATTTTTCACATGGGTTCACTGTAGCATGTGACAATAAAATGGAAATATACCTTGTTAAAACAACATGTCCATTTGGTTGACCAACTGCCAATAAATTTTTAAAATCTGTTTTAGGATACCATGCTACGCACTAAAAATAAAACATACAATACAATTCATCATGAAATGATACCAAAAGAGTGAGCATTACACTATCACTTCACTTTAAACAGCCCTGTCAAAATATATACAACAACATTTCCTGAGTTTTTCTATACTTTATTGGAAATTCCTAAGAAGACTATTACTATTACTAAGATCTTTTGTATACGCTCATATAGATAAAGATACACATAGAAAGTCAAAATATGTATTAATTAGATATACCTTTATCAAGTTAACATCTGAATTACAGGCAACATGTACAGCATAGGTATTTTCTGATATTTGCCGTACTGAAAATAAAATAACAATTATTTATTATTTTTACATTTTTTATAGTCATATTGGCATCTCTCAGACTTTATACATGAAGTTTGAAAGTATACTGGATAAAGTAAGTGTCATGTGCACTAGTTGTATTATAAAACCAAATAATGAAACTTGAAAACAATGGTAATGTATTGAAAAATGTATTGACAGATTTTTGTAATGGATGCTTACAACAGTAATAATTAATACTATAGAATACAACAGTAATAATTAATACTATAGAATACAACAGTAATAATTAATACTATAGAATACAAAAGTAATAATTAATACTATAGAATACAACAGTAATAATTAATACTATAGAATACAACAGTAATAATTAATACTATAGAATACAAGAGTAATAATTAATACTATAGGAATACAAGAGTAATAATTAATACTATAGAATACAACAGTAATAATTAATACTATAGAATACAACAGTAATAATTAATATTATAGAATACGACAGTAATAATTAATATTATAGAATACAACAGTAATAATTAATATAATAGAATACAACAGTAATAATTAATATCATAGAATACGACAGTAATAATTAAGAGAATACAGCTTCCTAATTACTGTAATGAAAATGGATAAGATAACCAGTGGTTCCCTTTACTAAGATTGCAAGGCAAGGTAATATAAGCTTACGCTCACTGGCAGCTTTGATTTTGAATAAAAATATTTGTTGGTACAGTATGAAATACTCAACCTTCAGTCATACATTTCTTTTGGGGTGTTACTGAATATTACCACTTTTGTCAAAGACCGACAAGAATTGTGCCTTTTGATGTTTACGAGCTAAAAATTGAAAGCATTTTCGAGAGAACAAGGGCAATAACTTCTACTAAATATTTTTCAATTTTTGTGATTTTCAATAGGGTTCTTTGTTGGGTGATTACAAACACTCACACCAAGTTTCATCAAAATCTGTAATGAATTGTGCCTCCTAGAATGTTTAAAAGCAATAAGGGACAGATTGAGTAACGCCAATATACACCACCCATTTCATGTGGGCCTTTAAAAATGAATATTGGAGGATGGATAAAAAAACACCAGATACCATACACTACCCTTATCATACAACTCTGATACATAATTCAGAATAAAATTGTTACTGGAGGATGAAATGAAATGAATGAAAATATCCAAATGTTAAAACCCGTTCCTTTTTTGGAACTATAAAGCTGAAACAACTGAGCTGTTAACACAAACTGGCCAAAAGGATGAGGTAATTGTGTGCAAAGGCCCTTTTTTAACAAATGCGAGTTATGCCCCAGCCCCAAAATGTAAACAATTAGTAATTCAACCCGGATGTGCCACGCCCACCCCAATTTTTTTGTCATGGGTGAATTCATATTCAAAGTGTCTAGTTGTATTCCTATTTGGACTCAAGGTTCTACATAAAATAGGTCATAAGATATACATACACCAAGATCAAAATGACACAAATATGGTAAAACAAAACTCAAATTTGAAAAAATCACCAATTTCAATTTTGCTTTAAAAAAGCAATTGTTCTATATCTATGTAAAGTGCATGAGAAGCACATTAGGAAACCGAAAAAATTAACCCTCCAGGTTAATTAGGTCACGTGCTAGAGCAGTCCAAAGCTGCGAATTTGGATGTTTTTGGACAGCTATAAAAGCGAAAGTAGATGTCAGAAGTCAAATATGAAAGCATAAACTAATAGACAATGTCAATGACCTTTGACCCAATAAAGGTCAAGGTCATCAAAGGTCAAGGTCAAAAATTGAAAATTTTGAATTTCCAAAACCTGTTCCTTTTTTTGAACTAAAAAGCGGAAACAACCGAACTTCTAAGACAAAGTGGCTCAATTCATGAGATAATTGTATGCAAAGTTCCATTTTGAACAAACGTATATTTTGCGAGTTATGCTCCTGGCCAAAAATATCAATAATGAGTAATATTAACCGGATGTGCCACGCCCACCTTAATTTTTTTGCATAGGGTAATTGATATTCCAAATGTTACGTTGTGTTTTAAATTTCAAGCTTCTACATTATTCAGGTCAAAAGATATAGGTCAACAAATGTCAATAAAGGTCAAAATCGAAAAATGAAAATATCCAAATGTTAAAACCCGTTCCTTTTTTGGAACTATAAAGCTGAAACAACTGAGCTGTTAACACAAACTGGCCAAACGGATGAGGTAATTGTGTGCAAAGTCCCTTTTTGAACAAACGCATCCTATGCGAGTTATGCCCCAGCCGCAAAATGTAAACAATTAGTAATTCAACCCGGATGTGCCACGCCCACCCCAATTTTTTTATCATAGGTGAATTCATATTCAAAGTGTCTAGTTGTATTCCAAATATCAAGGTTCTACATGAAATAGATCATAAGATATACATACACCAAGATCAAAAAGACGCAAATATGGTAAAACTAAACTCAAATTTGAAAAAATCACGAATTTCAATTTTGCTTTAAAAAAGCAATTGTTCTATATCTATGTAAAGTGCATGAGAAGCACATTAGAAAACCGAAAAAATTAACCCTCTAGGTTAATCAGGTCACGTGCTAGAGCAGTCCAAAGTTGCGAATTTGGCTTTTTACGGATAGCTATAAAACCGGAAGTACATGTCGGAGGTCAAAGGTCAAAGTATCAAATGATAGCCAAGGTCAATGACCTTTGACCCTATAAAGGTCAAGGTCATCAAAGGTCAAGGTCACGAGATATACGCCATCAAATATTGAAAAAATTCAATCGCAAATTGCAAAAAAGCAAAATCGAAATTCAAAAATCGGCTTCCTGCGATCTCTCTTAATTTTTATGTTCTTTCATTTGACACCAAAATTTTGAAATTCGGTTCAGCCAAATTGGCTGAATAAAAATCGAAGAGTTTCAGGGAAATCAAAATGGCGGCCAAAGTTTCA